TCTTTCCCTCACGGGGGTGAGGGGGGGACGGGGACACACAACTTGCAGATGGTGACAGCGCTTGGTCAGAACCTCCTGTTTCTGCTTTCCGTCAAAGGAGCTTGAACAGATGGCGAAGGAACAAGATAAAGAATCGGAGAAACAAGCCTTGCTCCAGGAAGTGGAAAACCATAAAAAGCAAATGCTCAGGTAGGCTGGGCAGCAGGTGCTGTGTACAGGTTCGTTCCCTGGGGCGAGGTAAACGTGGAGGTACCTGACTTGGGTGCAGCGTCTCTCAGATTCCCGTTTCGCAAATACGGTCACGGACACGAAGCCGTTTCGCCCAGGACGGCGAGAGCGGATCCGTGACGGAGGGGCAGGACTTTGTTCTCCTCGTCCCCTCTCTCCTGCCCGTGACGCTAGTCGCGGTCTGCTGAGCCGAATCCCCTTGGAGCAGCACGGTACGCAAGGCTGAGCGCGTAAGGCAGTGCCTTGAGGGACCGTTTTCTGACAGGTAGCACAATATCCCTCATCCCCTTGCTCCGTAAAAGATACACGCAGGAGGAGAAGCAACAGAAGGGAATGTGGTATATTATTATTATACCACGTTATTCTGTGGTATAACGTAGAAATAGTCCATGTGTGTACATAGGGTGCTCAGTTATGGCAGTTTCCTTGTTGAAAACCGTTTTAGCTTGCAAAGTGTTACCATCGTGCTACGCCGTTGTACTCTTGTGATTTCAGCAATCAGGCGGCTTGGAGAAAGGCAAATCTAGCGTGCAAAATTGCTATTGACAACTCTGAGAAAGATCAGCTGCTTCAGGGAAGAGACTCCTTAAGACAAAGGTACTAAACTATTCCCCTTTATGTTTTGGTAACAGATTTAAACAGTAGATGTGGTATTCACTGGTTTTAAAAGGGAGTGATGTAATAATTGTAAGTCACCTGATTGTATTTGGACAGATTTTCTTTTATGAGTGCATTTAGCTTTTGTGTAGATTTTAAACTGTTAAGGATTGTAATAATTTTAGGGATTTTTTGGTGTTGGCCCATCTATGCAGAAAAAGGGGACAGGATAGCCTTCAAAGTGTTTCTGACAGCTTTTTACATTAAATCCAGTCAGATTCATAAACAAATAACAGATCATTTTTCAGTCTGTTTTCGCATGCAGAACTGGATTAAGTTTATATAATTTGTGTATTGAAAAGTTGGCTTATGGTGAAGCAGCAGAAATCCAAGATAACGAAGTTGTATCAGCGCTTTTGTGCCACTTTATGAAGCTGTATAGTCAAGGATTAACAACTAGCGAGGTGTGAGCCTCCATGAGACTCTGATCCACTGCCTAACAGTTGTTTTGGCTCATGACTTTAACGTGTTGCGATTCTTAGTGTTTAGTGAAGATAATGAGTCCATACCTTAATCTTAGTTTCTCATGCGTTAATAAAACCTGGTTGTATCTTTTGTACGTTGGCAGAGATGTGGGGTGCCAAGCTCTGTTCTTAGCTCCCTGTCAGCAGCACTTTTCTGCAGTACCCAGAGACATCATTTTCTCCCTTACCCCTTTATTTTTCCCTTCCTCTTTCAGAAAGACTACAAAGGAGAGCCTGGCAGAGAGTGCAAGTAACATCACGGAGAGTTTGATGGGCATTAGCAGGATGATGTCACAGCAAGTCCAGCAGAGTGAGGAGACTGTGCAAACCCTAGGTACAGCTGTAATTTGGGTATTTGGTTATGGACTGTATGACTGAAGTGCCTTTCGCTAGTACTGTTAGCATGGGGAGAGGCAAACTGTCAAGATGTGGAGCACGGTGGAAAGCTGTATCGCTAATCCTGAACTTACTAGGATAATTAAAGGACTGTCCAGCAGAACTCCTCTAACACTTGGGTAGGAACAGCAAATAATAATGGCACACTGCATGAAGCTGTTTGCTGGGCTGTCTTTCTGTTTCGTGATGTGTCTTCTCAGTTCTGAAATAAACAAGAGGGGGCAGGAGGAAAAGCTCTTGTTTTAGTTTCACATAAAAGTGTAAAAGCAATGTGACTTCACACAATGTGAAGAGTGTGTTTGCTGCTACTCAGTGCTCTTGTCCTGGCATGCACGTGGCAACAGAAAAGAAAATAAAAGCATAGGTGCAAGTCCGCACGTAGAGGAAACTTAGTATGGATGGAAAACTGTTTTTACCCAGTCTCCAGCTGGGATGACTAAGAGATGTGGAGATCAAGTGACTTGAACCTGAGGTCGCTTGCTCTGTCAGCAGTGCATCGGGGAGTGCGAAACCAAGATTTTGCCCTGTTCTTTGGCTTAGACTCCTCAGACAATAAATCAAGTGGCCTGTCAGAACTGGTGATTCATGAACCATTTAGAAGTTGGATCTGCGTTGCTTGGGCCCCTTACTAGCTGCGCTTGGGCAGAAGAGAAAATAGTTTAAAGACTAGGAGAAATAATGCGGCTTCCCCTCCCTCGTTTCCTACCTTCTCCCCCGCCCCCATCTGAGGATGGCAGCTGGGCACAGTTTGTTCATGCAGAAGTAGCATGTTTCTTCTCCCATTAAAAAAGGCAGTTTGGCAGTCACTTTGTCACCCTGTTTCTGGCTGAACAGCACTTGGAGTTTATCAAGGGAAGAACTATCGAAAGTCATTTACAAAACCCAGCTGTGCGTTCTAAGTCAGTAGTTAGAATTGTCTTTTTTTAGAGCAAGTTCTTTCTCAGGAAGCAGTTGTGAAGCAGGGAAGCTCTGCTTTATCATTAACAGTGGGGAAAAACTAGGTTTTCTATTTTTAGAAATATTTAAATATTCAAAATCAAAATCTCTCTCTAAGGTTGGGATGTCATGGTTTGCAAAAAACATTGCAGAAGTATTTCTACTCTACTTGTCTTTGTGAACAAGACAACGTACTTGTAGTTTGACCTTTCTTTAGTCGTTCAGTTCGGTAGCGAGTGATAGGCCTGCATTCATTCCAGTACAGGATATGTGTTCTGTAATGCAAGACTAAGGGGACTCTTGGGGTTTTGCTTTTTGTCATTTGGTAATTTGAAAGAAGGAAGGCTGGGAATTTTTGTTTTGTTTGTGGGGGGTTGTAGTGTTTGTTTTATTTTGAGAAAACAAAGTTGGCAGGGATCCATATTCAGTACTGCTCTTTTGGCATATTTTCCAATTCTCCCTTTAGTTGACACCAGTTAATATGTTTTTCCTCCAGTTGATTTCATCTTGTTGACTTGGAAAAATCAAAAAGAACTGTAAATTGTACTTGTCAAAAATGTTAACAGTAAACAAATTTAAATGGCTTGAACTGAACAATTAAGGGGCTCATGGTGTTCCTTGCTGCCTTTTCACTCTCCATAGAGCTCCCGAATCACAGTAATATGCTGCTCTGGCTTGGGGCAAGAATTTCAGTTGTGGAATGAATGTATTCAGATACTGACCTGCCTTGCTGCTGCTAAAATTGATGCTGACTGTGATGGTGATTTCTTTCTCTTAAACTGGTGGTTCTAACTCTGTTCTTACTTCACTCAGCTTCTAAAGAGCTCTCAGGTAGCACTGACTTCATGAGATGTGGACTAGATTTGATCAAGTAACCTAAACAATTAAAGATTTGGTAACAGGACATGGAAACTGTAATCTGTTTAGTACTTCTGTTTGGCTTTGCATTTTTTTCTTGGCACATCAGGACTACTGAGCGGTGAAAGATTCTGCAAGAACGCGGTCTGCGTTGGTCTTACCCATAAGTCACTCTGACTCAGCAGGATCTCACTGACACTATCTGCATTGACTAACGTTGTGTGCTTATTTCATTTGTCGGGTACGTTTGAAGGGCAGCCAGCTGAAATTGTTTTTTCCTCGTTTCAGCCAATTCTTCACGAACCATCCTGGAAGCAAATGAAGAATTTAAGTCTATGTCTGGGACAATTCAACTGGGGAGAAAGCTAATAACCAAGTACAACCGCAGGGAACTGACAGACAAGCTTCTCATCTTTCTCGCCCTTGCCTTATTCCTGGCCACTGTGCTCTATATTTTGAAGAAAAGACTCTTTCCATTTTTGTAAAATTCCAAAGCTCTTACTGAACTATTATGACTTATCAGAAAGAGATGGTGTAATAATGGTAGGGCTTACTGTAAAAGGGATATGGCAATAGCTAGAAGAGCATTAGAGCAGGCATGACTTTATGCTATCTAAATGGAGTATGGGACCTGCCTAAGAGGAGCTTAAGGGAGCACAAGTCAGGGAGGAGCAGTTAGACAGAGGTGTGGAAAGAAGAAACACCCATCTGCCTGTAAGCGTGGGGAACCGGACAAACGCCTGATGAACTAGGTACTCAGCGGTGCCAGTCTTAACTTTCTGCCTTTCTTCCGTTTTGCCATGAAGTGAACTTTTGTCCGTGGCTTGGACGAGAAGCTACACTGACATGTGTATGTAACTGTCAGGTGCTGAGAACTAGAGGAAGGATGGGAGAGAGAAACCCATGTACATTCCATTAATAAACTATTTATTGTATCCATGTGAACTGAGTTGTGTTTAAAAAAAATTGCAGTGGACTGAGAGCGCCTGCACAGCTTCTGGAAGTTCTGTTTAATACTTGGAAGAGTGGGTGCTTCTGGAATGTTTTTTCTAAGATTGTAGCGCACTCGTAGTCTGACTCTGTTCAGGCCCGGCCTTGGAGGGCTCTGACCAACGAAAAAATGGAAACCACCTACTTTGTTACTATTAATTCACGCAACATGTTTATGAAAATTACACTGTTAGTCTGTTACAGCCTTTAGTCTTTTTTGGTGCTTTTTTAATAAAATTGCCCTTAGCACTTTGCAAAATACTGGCAAGCTGCACATTTGAAATGTTTTCTTATTTATACAGTTGATCTTTCTGCAGTTAGTAAAATCCTTTGCTGTGATTGCTTTGCCTGTCTTTTCTGCTCTAGTAATGAGCACCTGCTTGCTTTAAGAGGCTAAGTAACAACACGCCACGCTCACGTGGCACCTTGCAAGTACCAAAAATGGACAGCAGTGTTTTTAAAGCCGATGTTGCCTTCTCCTAGGGAAATTGTTTCATTGCTTCTTCAGAGTGGACTAGTAAAGCTGACATTCTGCTTATGAAATTCTCACAGAATGGTTAGAAATGTTCTTAATTAGTAATGAGAAGTAATTTTTTTTAAAGGCGATCCTAAACAAATCCAAAGAACTGTATCATCAAGTAAATGCCGATATTTAAACTTTGGTGGAATTTGAGGCTAAATTTCCTTGGTAGTTTAGGTTCCCGTTAGTATATTTAGAGAGAAGAAATGACACTAGCACAGTGGATTATGTTGTCCTTGTAATACTCAGTTACCAGACCTTGTCAGCGAGCACAATTTACCATTTTGCCAGCTGCTGCTACAAGCAGAAGCTTGGTTAAATAAATAAAGAGGTAGCGGACTGTAATAATCCAAAGCAGCGCGTGGGGCAGTTGAAGAGGTGCTTGGGTAACTCTGTACATGAACAATAAAGTTGGAATTTTCAATCTAGCGCCAAAAATCGAGGCCTTTGCCTGAAGAGTTCAAGTGTCTGTGCCGGTCCTCCTGGTGTAGCATAAAGGGATGAGGAAAGCTTCCAGTACGGCTATTAAATCCCGTAGAGGGCAGTAGTGCATACGTGTCATTAGTTTTTTCTTGCTCTGGAAGTCCTCTAACCCAGATTAGAGAGAATGGAGGTGGCTTTTCCTGTGTCATTTATTCATGGCATTTGAGTGCAGCTCCCTAATTGACTCTCCCGAGATGCAGAATTACACGGAGATTGAAATAAATCAAGAATGTGCCTGTTATGTTGTTGAATAACAGGGGAGTTACTGTCTTTAAGAAAAGATATGTTGCAGAAAGTGGACGCGTGCGTGCTTTCTAATAGCTACGAGAAGCCTCGCTTCCAGACGCGTGCTGCAGGAGCAGTTTTCCAGTGAGCAGGCTACGGCCGAAGGAGAGCGTTAGTTATATCCCGCGAGTTAGGGCCGCGCTGGGTCACTGCGATCCAGCTCGGTGTCGCGCGGCCCCGTGTCGTCGGTGGTGGGGCTGGCTCCTGCCCTCCCTGGAGGAGTCCGCCCTGCGTGCCCTTTCTGGAAGCGGCTCTGGAAATCGCTGCCTGCTGCTGAGCACCGGCACGATGGCTGCGGGCCACCAGGCCAGAGCACACAGCCACTCCGCCCAGGTGTGTAAAACCTAAGGGTGATTAACAGCGTGGCCTCCTGTCCGCCAGTCTTGGAAAGTATGGCTTTAAATACAAATAATATTTAGAACATAAAGGGTTTTTTTTTAGCATATAAATACATTACAAAGCTATGGCGGTGCAGCAGTTCCTGATTTCCAAATTAACGGTGCAAAGCTGTGTTACGCAGCTTCAGAGCAGTCAATAACACTTTTTTTTGTGGACTACTGTTTCTAGGCTGGTTGTAGCACCCTTATTTTATTTTCTCAGCTAACTTTGAGGCAAACAGGCTCGTCTTTTTGAAATGCAGTACCTGCAGGTGGTCAAACACGAGCTGGTTCAGTGTTTCCTCCCTTATGCAGATGCAATATAAAAATAGGTCTCTGCTAATCTCTGAGATACTGGAGCGCTGAGCAGATGATACAGCTATGCTGTAAGCAGCGATGCAGTACAACTGCCTGCAGGAAGTTTCACTTGCTTTATCTTTGCTGTGTATGTGCTCCATTCAGAACATAGACGAACCCTAAAAAACAGAAGAAGCCTTCTCGTGGTGCTATGCGTTTCAGTAAATTTGTTTTAAAGGGATCGTCTTTTTGAATGGAGGTTGTAATGTAGTAATATGGGGAAAAAAGACCTACTGCTGAATGTCTTGTTTTTTTGCTCTTTTCTCAGCTTGTTACTGAAATTGTAGCTTTCAGACCTTGACTGGCTGGAACACTCCAAGAACAAAAAATAACTGTGACCTTCCCTATAGCATTCATTTGCTGTCACATCAGGCTTTCATTAACAAAGTATATATATAGTCCTTTTGTAAACATAACTATCTGCATAAACTGACTTGGAGCTAAACAGTCCTTAGAGGCAGGAGGAATAAGTGGAAAAAGACTGAGGACAACAGGAGCTTTTGGGAGGGAGGAAGAACCTTCCCCAGGCCCCAGCAGGTCCCTCTGCAGCACTTAGTCCTAGAGCTGCTCCCTTCTGCAGGTGGTACGACTTCATCCAACCCCCCAGGGCCCGCAGACCTGAACACAATCAGCAGAGGTAGTGAGACAAATGTCATTTCCTCTTGGGGGTGAGACAGGTGATTTGGTGGGGCTTCAGTCAGGCACCTGGCTGCACCTGGGGAAGGTGGAGGAGGTAGCTGGGCTCAAGTGGCTCCATGGGCTGTGGCCTGGTGTTGACTGCCTGCTCCCATCTGTGGACCTAGCTCCTGTCTCGAAGGTAAGTGTCTGCGTCTTATCTTTCCTCTAACAGAGCGGGAATGGTAGTGTGGGGAGGGGATTGTGCTTGCCTTTTCACATCTAATACTTGGGGTGTTTATTTGCGTTTTCTGTCTTCTGGGAGGGTGCAGTTGTCTGGGCAGCCTGGTGGGTCTGGTGACCGCCTCCGAGGGTGAAGACAGGCTTTGGACTGCGGAGGACAGTGTTTCTCGGGCTCTTGCTCCTTTTTTTTCCCTGTGTTTTATGATATGAAAGATAGAAACTGGCACTACAGAAATGTATTTGAAAGGGAGTAACATCTTCTAAGATGCTTCACCCTACAAGTTCACTCTGGCAAGTGCAGCAAACCCTATCAGAGAAAATAAGAAGAAGGTGGCCTCCACCCGCTGCACCCCTGGGCTCAGGCATGACCTGGGGCCGAGGCAAGCCAGAAACAGGAGGTGTTTGGGGAACTTTAATGTCAAAAAGAAGGGGGCTATGGAGACATGCTTAGTGCTGGGCCACGGCTGAGGATGATCATTGTTTCTTTTTAAGATACAGTTTCTGAGCATAGGCACTTCAACCCCATTTCAGTGCTGTTTCAGATGCCTGAACTCTCCATTAGTTTTGGTACTTTGATGAGCAGGTGCTGGGGCGCGTTGCCAGCATACGAAGGTGTCTGTGTGGCAGCATTACCGCTTACACGCAAGGAAAAGCAGAACGGGAGCAGGCGTGCCGCGGCAGGGGCTGTTCCTCCTCCCTGCGCCCTGGGTATCAGAGGTGGGCACTGTAAGCTGGAAGTGGGATTCAGTGTTGGGAAACAGTTGCAGGAGAAAGACTTTTTCTTTCCTTCAAAGAGCAATGCTTCTTTAAAAACAGCAGCAAGTAACTACCACGAGCTAAAAAGGAACCAAAATCTCCCTGCCCTGGAGTTTAGGGGGCTGAGACAGGCAGCTGGTAGCAATCAAATTGCTGCGAATGGGTGAATTCACGCTGGGCAGCGGTAGCTGCTTGGGCCCGCTGCCAGCCCGTCCCCACGGCAGGGCGGCTTCAGCCCTTCCAAGGAGGAAAAGTGTTTTGCTGCACAGCTGGGACAGGTTGGGGATGAGGACGGGGCCAGTTGCGATGGCTCTGCTGCTTTGAGAGCAGCTCATTGCAGAGTGAGCTGGTTTGTGAGAGCTGGTTTTGGATCCTCTCTGTGGATTCCCACCTGCTGAGATAACTGTTTTCTCTCCGAACACCTGTGGAAAGGAGGAGTGAATGCAAGTTAACCCTCTGGTCGTGAGGAGCCGCACAGGGCTGTCAGACGGTTATTTTTGTTGCCAGCACCTGCTGGTGAGTAGATGGCAGAGAGGACGCGATCCTGGCCTGTCAGGCGTCTCTGATCGCAACGCGTAGACTGAGGCTGGGCGGCCAAAAACCGCGTCTCCGCTGCAGTTTCAAAGCATATCAGGCTAATTACAGCAAATCTTAAGAGTTTTGACTAGGCTTCTGCGATGCTGGAGTCGGCACCTCCCTGGCCCTTCACGAGCAACGCGCGGCCGTGGCGCCCTTGGGGGTTGGCGCCCCTTGCCAGGGGGCAGCGGGCGCCGGCGCGCCTCCTCCGCGGGCCCCCGGAAAGCTCAACGTTAAGGTAACTTTCCGAGCCCGGCCTGCGGTGTGTGCTTTCAAGCAAGGTCACCTTGCAGCGGTCGCAATGAAACGCGGACCTGAGGGAGAGAAACGGAACCGGTTTTACCGTTCGGCCTAACCGGGCCGAAGAGACTCCTTTCGCTTGCTTTGTAGTTATTTGACCCTGGTTCCAGCGCTGGCAGGTACGGAAACGTCACAGGAAGATTTCTCTGCAGGCGAATGAATGAGGAGTGTGGTTTTCTGCTTCGTTTCTTCTCTCCCCGTCCCCTTCTGAGACTCGAGAGGAAGTTAAGCGTGTATTTTAACGTCTCCTTTGGAAATGCTTTCCGCATAAGCGGCTTTACCAAAATGGAAGGGTGAATTCATAGCTTGGAAGCTTCTAAAAATGTCTCCGCCAAATGTGTGCGGCTGCTATCGCGTGCCAAGTGGTCCCGGGGCTGAGACCGCCGGGGCTGAGAATAGCCAGGGGGCATGTGCGCGCCTGTCCGCACGTACGGGGGGGGGCTCTTTTTTGGGAGGCGGCGGGGGGAGGG